TCAGCAAAAACTAACTGAAACACAACAAAAAAAAAATCTTGTAACAGGTAAGTTATAAGAATATCAAAACCTGATACGGACAAGACAGAAATAACTGTGTTTACAGGGTTAGCTTATTACCTTGAGGGGTCAAACTTGGTATTCATACTTTAGTGATTTAGTGGTAAACACTAGTGTTTTTCACACCTTACACTAAGCCTGGTTAAATACAAACAGATCTTACTTTAGACAGGCATGCTTTTAATCCATCCCCAAAGTGACAGTACCTGTCAAGAAAGGCTTATCTGGTGATACCACAGACAAATCCTAGGTGAGCTCCTCTCTCAGCAATGGTGCAGGTGACGGGTGGAGAACAGTCAGAGGGGAGATAGACTCAACACCAGCAGAAAATTCTGCAGTGTTAAGTTTCAAATGTGGGATGAAGGTTTGTGTAACTGATGTGGAAAGGCCCCTACAACAGAAACCCTGGCAGTGAGGTGTCCATGCTGTGCAGAAGAGGCTGACCAAGGACACTCCCCTGCATGAACCACCCAAGCAGTTTGTCTGCAGTGGGTCCAGGGCAGGTTCAACTTCTGCCTCCCTGCCCCAGTCTTTTCCTACTAAATTATTTGAGGAATAAATGCAGCTACATTTCCATCCAGAACCCTTTCCTTCTGGCAATAAACACAAATATATGCAGAGAAAACCTAATGTCTTACCTGCAGCAGAACACTAAGAAAAACCGACTCACTTTTGTAGACAACCAGAAACAACTTAATATATAAACAAAACCAAAACTTTCTTTTCTTTTTGTCACAGTAAGCAACTGTGTTAATTATGAGGAGAAACAGCTCATTATCCAGTATCCACTGTATAAGTTCCATCAACAGAAAGGGCCAGGAAGTGTAGGTGTGGCAGCTCAGCAGAGGAGCTGCTGCTGAAGAACCAAGAGGTGTTACACCTGGGGAGCCTGTGCCAGTTCTGGCTGAACTGCCACCCCTGCCCCCTCACAGCCCATTCAAGCTGCACTGCGGGAAATGAAAACAAGTGTTATGGTACAAACAAACCAGAACTATGACTTGATGGCACAGGATCAGCAGGAGCAGAGGTCTGCTGGGAAGGACATAGGGGGATGGGAACACAGTGTGGGGTTGGGAACGCCTTCACTGCGGTGCCCAAAGACCATGGAAACTATGGTCTGAGCTGGATGCAGAGATTCCATAAAGAATGCACCTCGACTCAACTGAAGGGAACCCCACAAACATCTGAAGCGGGTGCAAGATGTGCCTAGAACTTTGGCTGATAGAGAGACACGCGTCCGCTAAGGCACCCCGAGGCGATCTGACAGTGCGTTGGGGAAAACTTGGTGGTCAGGACCACGTCGTTGTGAGAGTAGAGGGAACGGATTTCCTTCAGGGGACCGGCTTCTTTGGGCAAACAGTCGACAAGTTCGCTGCAGTGTGCATCAAAGCCCAGCAGGCGGATCCCGAAGCCGTGGGGGGATGAAATCATACGGCCGTCGGGGCTGAAGCACAGCTCCTTGATGTAGCCCCGGCCCACGTTGGCCTCTTCAATGCAATGAGTCAATCGCAGGGAACAGCGAGGGGAGATGGGGCGCACGGGGGCTCCTTCCTGGAATTCATAGACACAAGTCCACTAAAGGGAGAGGCAGAGAAAGGAACATTGAAAGAAAAGTCAAGTGCCGCCAGCACTCCCTCCCTCCCACTGCATGTTTCCTAATGCAGGAATGACCAGGGCTCCTCCTGATCTGACATTGTGTAAGCAAAAAAATGTCTAGCACCAGAGCTGTTGTTTTAAAATTAAATGGATGCCAGATAAAATCTTTTAAATCTAGCTTTTAGCTGGAAAGAGCAAAGTCTGATCCTTTGGCTGGGCATCTGCTCCTGTTCAGTAATACTTAAATGAAATCTACAGCAAAGTAGAACTCAGCTTACTGTTATTTGCATTTGAACACTGGCATTTTGTGCCCTTCACTTTAAATGGACAGAGATTCTGAAAAAAAAAGGGAACAGATTTTTGAAGAAATGTTATGAACAGCTCCATAGCCAGCTTGTTACTTGTGAGACAGCCAGGGACTTTAATGTGACATCTAATTATCTAATCTCAAACAAATATAAAACTAGCTCTATGATGGATTTTATATTGTGCTGAAAGTTTCAACTTTAACCACAAGAGAAAAGAAGTGTTCGTCATTCTGTTCTCTGTAGACCAATGAAATAAACATGAAGGGAACAATACTAAACAATATTAACTAACAGAAGAGAGTAAGGATGACACCAGGCCTACAGGAAATGATAACAAGGTCAAGTGTCAGTATTCACTAACCCAGTATATTTGCACTTCCTAAAAATTGTGTTGTACAGCCGTTTCATTATAAGTTTACAGAACTAGCATTAATATTTATAACAAATCTGCCAGACTTCCACCCAGTCCTCTGAACATTTGTGAGAGGACACCACTACAAAGAGTGGCTTTCTTCAAGAAAGAGCACAAAAAACACCCCAACAACCCAAACCAAACCCAAAATCAAACTACCCCAGTTGACATCAGCTATAAAATTAACTTATTATTGGTGGATGTGCTGGTTTTGGCTGAGACTGAGTTATCTTTCATCACAGCTGCTGGCAGGGGCTGTGTCTGCGATCTATGCTGAAAGCTGCCACAACATAGGGTGCTGTCTTCTGCTCAGCAGCACTCACACAGGGTCAAGGACTCTCCTGCTCCTGAGGCCACACCACCAGCCAGTGGCCTGGGGTGCACCAGGGGCTGGGAGGGGACACAGCTGGGACAGTCCATCCCAGCTGACCAAAGGGACATTCCACACTGCATGACACCATCCTCAGCAGATGAAGCTGGGGAAGAAGGAGGAAGAGAGGATGTTTGTAGTGGTGATATTGGTCTGCCCAGGGGATCCTCACGGGGAGGCAGCCTGGCTGTCCTGGGAAGGGCTCCACACCTCCCAGCTGGTGGCAAGTGCTGACTGAATTCCTTGCTTTGCTTTGCTTCCGTCTGTGGGTTTTGCTTTGCATATTAACCTGCTTGTATCTCAATCCATGGGTTTTCTCAGGTTTGCCCTTTCAATTCTGTTCCACTTCCCTTTGGGAGGATGCATGGGACTGAGCTGCTGGCTGGCTTTGAACCACAACCACAAAGTACTCAAGGAATTATTTGTAGGTTTGGAAAACAAGTATTAAATCTCTGAGTTCCACACAACTGTCACAGCAGTAATTCTGAAATAACCCTAGGCAAAAAAGGTGTTTTCAAGAGAACCATCTGTTGCAATCCAGGTGTTCTGAAGGCTCTGACTTAACATGGAAGTTACTTCTCCAAATGCAGGTCCTCCCAGACACAACTTCCTGGCTCTTGCTTTGTGTACACAGCTCATGAAGAAGCTTTTGCCTTGTTTCTGAGAGCACTACACACTGCTTGTCTGTCATACAACAGGGTTCCTGTGCAACACAGTAGCTATTAATGTGGCACTGCCCAAACAGCACCTGGGGAAATATCATCCCACAGGGGTCTTGAGGTCTGCCAGGATTTGGGGAGTGAAAACTGCAAGCTGCAGACAAGCTGCAGCTGCTCTTATGTCTCAGTATTTCAAGTAAAAGCTTGGGATGGATTCTGCCAGGAAGATCACTGATGCACCCTTTGTATGTGGGTTGCAGAGTTTTTGGATGAGAGCTGAGGCCAAGGCACTGTGGTGGCACTGAAGTGTGCCTGGGGCTCTTCACACTCGGGCCAGTGATCTGGCAGTTTAAGGCAGATGCAGAAATGTGCCATGAGGTTATTTTCACAGCAGCTTAGGAGCAGCTTACTCATCATGTTTCTTAAAAAACAAACCCGTTTTACCTCCTGGTCGTCCGTGTTACTTGAGCAGCGCAAAAGCGTTGCCCACCCTTTGGGATGCAGCTGTAGTGAAGTGATGCAGTTGCCTCGGTCTCTTTCTCCAGGAACCTCTGGTGTTAAGACCTCCAAACTATTTCTCGGAGATCCACCTGGAAGGCGAAATCAACCGAAAGTCTCAGTGAAGTCCATAACTTGGTCTCCACCCCTGCTCAGTCACAGATGTGACACCTGCATTTGCCTGCTGGAACAGCCTGCACCTTTATGAAAGGACCAACCAAAAGAGAGAGCAAGACCAGAGCCAATGCCAATGGGCTCGCTCCTGATTTCAAACAGCTTGTTCTTGGAATTTGCCTTTAGAGATCTGCATTAAATCACGGCATCTTGCCAACTAAGTCAGAGTTAACCTTCCGCATATACACTTTTCATTATCATTAAAACAAAGTCTAAAGGGTGGGGTTTTTTTGTAAGAACTGCTGGTTCCTGAACTTGTACAAGTTCCTTTCCAAACCCTTTCAAGGTCTGCTCAGTTGTGTACAGCTCACCTCCCTTCTCCCCTCTCACCCCTAGAAAGCTCTTCACAGGTAAATCAGGCCTGGTATCCAGATAATCTTCCTCCTTTTATAAGTGTGTCTGAGCATCTCACAGCCTCGATTGGCTAAAACTTAACATCACACTTATCTCAAACTGCATGTGGTTTACAAAGTATCTGCCACTTCGCCAAGTTCATGCAGGCTCTCTGAAGTGTACCCTAGACCCAGAGGACACCTGCTAATCACAGGTCTGTCAGATTTCATTGCTCTATCCTTAGGTAGGACTTGGTTTGTAACCAGAACTTCAGCAAACACTCTGTCCACATTTAAGATCTGTCTACATCCTCTTTGTTACTTACTCCTCATGGAGAAACTGCAGATCCATATTCTCATTACTAAGGAAAGCAAAACATAGCCTGTTTTTTTTTGTGTTGCTTTTGTGGTTTTTTACCCTCTAAAGATCATTCACACAAACTTTGCTCAAGGACAACCATATGGAAAAGAGAGCAGTACTACATAAAAACAATGATGTTCTAACATAAAGCAGAGATTTTGTTGCTGTTACCAGATTTCTTGTAAAAAAAACCTGATTAGATCCCCAAACTTTGGAATGCAATGATATTTAACTGGTTTAACAGAAGTCATAGCAACATTATTTTTTCAAAGCCACAGAGACAAAACCAGTTTTTCACTTTCATACTCTGGCATCTTCTAGAAGCAATGAGGGCAAGTCCATGACTTTTTTGTGCTTTTTATCTTTTCCTACCTTCTCGCTGGGAGGACCGTGACATGTGCTTCTCAGAGAGTGGACCTGACTCACTCTGGTGACATGGGGAACCAACAGCTCGAGGACCAGAGGAGCCTGATGAGGTGATGTCTGAAAACAGCACCAGTCAGGTGAGTACACAGCTCAGCACAGCCTGCTGACCACACATATCCCCCACTTAACCCTCCTCAGGTTAAATAAAGGCTAAGGCATCTTGAGAGAACACAGCTCAGTTCAGAGCCTAAAGGTACCATTCTGCTTGTGCCACACTGTCAGCACAAAAAGCTCTGTTGGGAGCAGCAGGCAAGCTGCATTCCTTCCTCCTTAGGCATCATCACTACTAGAGGCTTGGGAACAAATTTATCCCCAGGCCACTCCCATTATCTCCCAACACCCCAAAAGGCCAAGTTTCTGTCAGTATTTGGCTGTTACTGCCAAAAAGCAAGAGAAGGCAAGCAGTGACATTGCAGAGCTCATGACTCTTCCAGGTGGGCTTGTCAACAGCAACCACACCACTGCACATGTGCCATCAGCAAGCTGCAGGAGCTTGCACACTGGCTCACTCAACACAGGTGAAGGTTCTTTTCTTCCAGGACCTGGAGAGCAGATAAACAAAGCCAGAGACTGGCTTGAGGTGACAGAATTCCACAGGCACTAGACCCTGTAGTCCTGAAGAGCAGCTACCCTGCTGAGGAGCTCCTCAGCAGAATCCTTCCAACCCCACCTCTGCCTTCTTCTTCTACCTAAGAGTATCCCACAAAACATCTCTTCTGCAGGAGCTGCCACAGAATTTTCCACAAGTATTCACCTGAACTTGATGCAGTCCTCCTAGCTCTTAAAATTGGGTAGCTGCCAACCTCTAAAGATTTGTTCAGGTCAAGGTCATGCAAAATCAGAAGATATCCAGAGGAGGTTGAGATCAACATTTTGGAACAGTCTGGGGTCAGCCTCATTCGCATAAGAAAACGGGTGTGAAAGAACTTCTTGTGGGGACAACCATCCTCTGTGCACCTGCACACCAAAGAAAGCACAAGAAATGGCTGCAATTAGTTTGACCCAACTCCCTAATAATGTCCAGAAGACTCCAAGATTAGATAAGAAGCCTTGTTCGTGCAAAATGTCTTAATCCTACTTAAATCAGGTTTTAATGAAATGGCAGAGGTCACTTTTTCAAACTGCCACAGCAGTGCTGGTAACTTTCTCAAAAAGGAAGAGCTACATTTTGGCACGTCAGCAATAAAAACTTTTTAGCTACTGGGCTGTTACATAAAGGTGATCTAAGTTCTTGACAACAGCTACAAACTAATCACAGTGTTTAAGAACACATTCACCATTCAAGGACTGTTTTCCATAGTTTGCAGAAGAACTCTACCCTTCTGTTTTCTAGAAATGACAGCATGAACACAGCCACCTACCTGTTCGTGTCCCAGATGATCACATTTCCATCGAACCCCGACGTTACTAGTAACCTTGTGTTGGTATCATACTCGATGTTCTTAACCCAGCTGGTGTGACCATGTAGAGTGCACACTTTTGTGTTCAGCTTTCTCAGATCCCAAAGTGCTATTGTAGTGTCATCAGAGCAAGTTGCAAACAGCCGATTATCTAGAAACCTGAAAATGGGACAGACATTCTGTGGCTGCTTAGTGCCTTTCCTAACTTAAATATTCTTAAACTGGAATTTAAGGTGGCACAGAAATAAACAGAGTGTCCATAAAAAAAATTATAAAAATCAACATACAGCAAAACATTTGCCAATAAACCAGTTTCATTTAAAACAGTCCTGCTGGGATATGAACCAGCAGTACCTCTGTAGTAGCTCCTACACTGCAGGAGCAGAGCAGAAGTTTTTTGGTACTTTGTTTCTTTTAATGAATCACAAACACCACACAACCACCAAAGAACCAGTGGAAATGCTCACACAGAAGCCCATGCCCCCATGGGGACAATGCTCTGCTTCACACCTACAGACAGCTCTCCCCAGATCCTGACCCCCAGATCCTGACCCCCAGCAAAGGCAAAGCCTCCAGGGGTGGATTCTGGGATCCTATAGATTCACTAGTGCTGGAGGCACAGCACGGCCCTGTTAGGAGGTGATGAGGACACCCCAAGCCCTGCAGTCACCAGAAGGTTCCTACAGATGACAGATCTCTAGGACCTCTTCCCAACCAGACCTCTGTTGCTTGGAGTTGGCCCCAGCTTCAAGACCAACAGACACACTGCTGCTCCAGAGGTTTAATCCCATGGATTATCTATGCAATGCAGTCCTGCTTTACTGGCACTGGACAGGGCACTGCTATCTGGGAAACAGGTACTAGGATGTACATCTGAATACTGCCACTGTTTGCACATTTCCCTCGGCCCTGAACTTCATTCCACCTTTGCCCATCCTTTGCTTGGAGCCTATCCAGCTCCATGGTGCCCCAGGAGCACTGCC